TCTGACTTTTCATCTAACTCCATTATCAGGTCAAAATATCAGAACAGAATTGTTCTAGCAAATGTTAGCATGATAATGCACTGAACTAAGATGGTAAACATACCTGTTAAACATCAGCAACATGACAATTTAGTGCATTTAGCTCAAAGCACCACTGTGCCCAAGTACAAGCCTCACAAAAGCAGCTTGCAGGTTGTAGACTCCGTAGCACTGACAATGATTGCTATGTAAAGATGTATATTTGCATGCATTGAGGCTGAGAGAGGAAATATATTGCTTAAAAGAAACTACAGTTTTTCACCAGGACTGTGTTCCCTAAGTTGGAGTCGTTTTCTACCCAGAAATTGTATTGAAAATAAGTAAATGTGTCGCTTTAACGTAGAACCACAAGATGTCCTTATAGTGGAGGGATGCACTGTATTTTAAAAGGGCGAAACTTCACCCTTTCATCACTTGATGAAGCATCATAAATGTGCAAGAGCGTGCAAATCTTTAGTTAAACATGCTGTTATACTTTGTAGTCCACATACAGTATTGTTTTTATTGTCCTTGACCACAAAGCACATACACTAGGTTCTGCCACAGTCCGGACACCTTCAAGAAGCGAGTCAGCAAGAACACGTTCTTTGTGCTCGTCCGTGTGGTGGATGAGCTGTGGTGAGTAGGACTCAATATTTTTTGTCCTGAATCTTGGGGAAGGCCTTTTCAGAGTGTGTGGTGCACATCCTGAGGGATGTTTCCAAGTAGATGTGGACTATGGAGAGGAAAATGAGTCCCTATGGATATTGCTGGTGCTTTAAATAGGTCTATGTATCCCATTATATTGGCTTTTCATTAAGGAATGTTTTAAAGAAACAAGATGTTTAACAAGAATAACAAATCATATTTATGTTGCACAAATTATTTACCGGTGTATATAATTATTCTTCAGGTGTATGTGTATGTGTACATGCATATACTAATTCACCTGCTTCATGTATATAAATGAAGCAGTATTTATTCCAACACTCTTTGCATTCTGCACCCTTGCACTATTAGTATGTTGTTGTTCATTGTTGCTTTTTATATTCAATCTATTTACATACATATCTATTTTATTCACCTACTTGTGTACATTATAGATAAATGTTTATGTTAGCCTATCTTTGTTCAGCTTTGTTTTTTGTTGTGTAACACCGAGAGCAATGAAAAACCGGAGCTTGTATGTGTACACATAGTTGGCCGATAAAGCTGATTCTCATTTTATAACAATAATTCAAATGTGGGGAACCGGTGTACTAAGAGATGCTGGTTATTGAAGTCCTAAGTGATTGATTTTATCCTGGGATGTAATGATCATGATAATGAGTAATTCTTCAGTCATATTACTCTACTAACAATACATTTCAGCCTTTTATAATGTTTTTTTATTTGAACTCAATCATCCTAAGAGCTTTACTTTATTGTTCTTCTGAAGGCTATAAAGAGAAAATATGCCCCTATTTCCGTAAGAGCTCTCTCTTTGTTCCAAATCTCCCTTTAATTGACGTTTTATCAACAACAACTGATTGAATTACCTTCTTCCTTCGGCTCCTCTGTTTATGTTTACCCCATCACAAATTTGAATCATCATTTAATAATTTCCTTGTTCTCTTCCTCTGTCCTCCAGCTTGGTGGAGCTGACGGAGGACATCTTGAAACAGCTGATGGACCTGGTGTTCACGCTCGTGTGCAATGGCGAGCTCAGCCTCGCCCGCGTGCTCCGCAAGAACATCCTGGACAAGGTGGAGCAGAAGAAGCTGCTGCGCTACACTAACTCCCTCAAGCCGCTCGCTGCCCGGGGGGTCTCTGCAAGGTACTGTGGGGGTCAAGAGTGTTAGAATGACACAAGCCAATGGCGTGCGTCTGCTCACATATTCTTTTTTAGGTTTACATCACAGCGCTACGATTCACCACACATACAAAATCATTCTTGTGGTCTGAAGGCGCCTTTAACAGGTTAAATTTAAATTTTTCATTACAAAGCAACAGTTTTTTTTTCTCTTTTAACCTCAAATCTTTTATGTTTCTTAACATTGGTGGATAAATAATTTATTTTAAAATAATTTAAATTAGTAAGTATTCTATAACAAGATGAGATTCAAATTCTGAGCTCATTTTTCTTTTACAACACTTTCTATGAAGCAATTTAGCACCACAGTGAATTACCACGATAGACTGGAAAGAGTCTTGTCTCTGTCCTTTGGCTACAGCCAGTCTACAATGTAAAACTTTGAGTTGAAGACATCATCTAATAATCTGTGTGTCCTAACAGGCCTGGAACTCTACATGACTTCCGAAGTCATGAAATTGCCGATCAGCTCACTCTTCTTGATGCTGAGCTCTTCTATAAAATTGAGGTACAGTGACTTGTATTAGTCCTCCCAGCGTTTTCTGACGACGATTGTGATTATTTTTTGACACTGAGCTCCGTGGTCAGTCAACACAGACTTCTCTTCCTGTTTTCCTTCAGATTCCCGAGGTGCTGCTTTGGGCCAAGGAGCAGAATGAGGAGAAGAGTCCGAACCTGACTCAGTTCACAGAGCACTTTAATAACATGAGCTATTGGTACGACAGAAAACCGCCATGCCTTCACATCTCACTGTTTGTCAGTGGCATTCTTGGCTTCTCTCTCACACAATCTTGCCCTCATAAATGCTGACACCGCACTGTTTATTTCTCTTTATCCTGCAGGGTCCGTTCTTTGATAATCCAGCAGGAGAAAGCCCAAGACAGAGAGAAGCTGCTTCTCAAGTTCATCAAGATAATGAAGGTTAGATACAACCTTAAATACTTTCTTAAATATCCTAATTGTCATATATTTTCCTTGCTTTTTAACACTATAACATTTATACAAATTTCTAATTTACAGCACTTAAGAAAGTTGAATAATTTCAACTCCTACCTGGCAATACTGTCCGCCCTGGACTCTGCCCCCATCAGGAGATTGGAGTGGCAAAAACAGACCTCAGAGGTGAGAGAATTGTGACAATGTTTCTGAATCTACACATCAGCTCTTATTGATTGTGGAAAAGTATCATGATTGCTTACGTTTATCACATTTCTCTCACATCACACTCATTTCTCCTCTTTCTTCTCTCAGGGATTGGAGGAGTATTGCACGTTGATCGACAGCTCCTCCTCCTTCAGAGCATACAGAGCTGCTCTGGCTGAAGTGGAGCCTCCATGCATCCCTTACCTGTAAGTGTGAATAAAGTGTTTACACGTACGTTTGAACTCATACAGATTTTGGTTAAGCAGAGAGCCACAGCTTGACACAGCTCCTCCTTTCTTCCAGGGGTCTCATTCTCCAGGACTTGACCTTCGTTCACCTGGGGAACCCCGACCTCATTGACGGGAAGGTCAATTTCTCCAAACGCTGGCAACAGTTCAACATCCTGGACAGCATGCGGCGCTTCCAGCAAGTGTAAGTCCACTGGGATGAATTTAAAATATGATGAAAAGTAATCGTGATATATTATTAGAGAGCTTTGTAAACATCAGTCACAGTAATAAATGTCATCATTTGTTTGCCACTGGCAGGAAATACCATGTTAGCCTTCTTCGTTTTTTCATTAAATTGCAATATCATAAAACATTGCTGCCATCTCCACATGCGCCGATTGTTTTTTCTCGCTAATGAATTAACTGCATTAATCAAAAACTCCACCCCCTTCTCATCTCAGGCATTATGAGCTGAAGCGCAACGAAGACATTGTCTGTTTCTTCAACGACTTCAGCGACCACCTGGCGGAGGAGGCCCTGTGGGAGCTGTCGCTGAAGATCAAGCCCAGGAACATCACCAGACGCAAGACGGACCGCGAGGAGAAGACCTAGGGGCCCCCGTGGGCCTTCACGAGACTGACCTCCAACTGTGCTTCATGACACTAACTCCACTTTACTACAGACTGAGAGAAAGACGAATGGAAGCTATCCGCTGGAGCTAATGGGAGACTCATTGTGGGGAATGCAGAACAAACTACATACAACTGAAGCGTGGCCGAGGTTTACAAAGAGCTCTGCTGCCCTGGGAGATTATAATTGGGATTACTGTGGCTCTGGCGTTTAGACGGGAAGAGATTCAGTGACTATGATGAAATGAAGAGGAAGCCTGGGTGCCAAGGAGGAGTGAAGAATCACACAGAGCGGACAGGGAGACACTACAGAAATAACCAAAGTCTGCTCCCTGGGCTCTCTGTTTTAGAGTGGAGCTGTTGCGTGTGTGTGAGATTGAGCTGAATGGTCCATTACTCTCCAAACTGCTCCTTCCTCTTCCTTTATGTATGTGCCATTTGTTGGTCATCTTCTGCGAACCCTCTCCCTGACTGATGAGTTCCCCTCTCAAACAGCAGAACCTCGAGAGCCGCCTGCCCCTGAACTGTGACGTCAACGCGCAGGCTGCTTACCCGAGGATCTGCTGGGGAGGGGGGAGGGGGCGTGGGCGGGGGGGGCGTGAGGGTGTTTGGACTTGAAGAGAGGATGACCATTAGAGACTGAGTTTGTTTTGAAACATTTTGTGTAAGAATCATGTATGGTTATGAAATGTATTATATACAGTGCTCCTTTTGTTCTTAAAAAGGATGTTTATGCTTATGAGAAGAGCTTAGCTTCTCCCAAGTGCCATACATATGTGCACTAAAAAAAGCAAAGCAAAAACACAAAAAGATAAATTACTAAAGATGCTGTGATCTATGTATGTCATACTGAATCATTGTGTGCCGTGTTCAGGTGTAGAGATCCATCAGGCAGTCACAATCACGTCCCAGTCATGTCGGTGTGTGAAAGAGTGTTTGTGTGCGACTGAAGTCCTCAGTGACTTGTGTGTTTGTCATTCCAAAATGTGCTGTAGTAAATCATTTTGATTCCTTTTTGGGATAATGGTCAAAACCAACACATCACACTGTGCTATCAAACTCCAATAAAACAAACAGCTCTGTTTCTATACACACTGTGTTATTCAGAAGCTTCATTTTCAACAAAACTTTATAATAGAATTTCCATTTATTGTTGTACAGAATGGTCAGTGGAAAATGAACTTTAAAAAATTAAGGCATGTATCCGACTGTAAATAATCCAAAAAAAAAAGAAGCACTCTGTACCAGTCTAGGTGTGACACTACTAAACCACACAGCCACCAGTCCTAATTTGATTTAAAACAAACAGGGAAAGCAACAAGACAACTACAACAGATGAGTATTAATATAAAATAAATATAATAAACTCAATTTAAAGCAACAAAGATGCACATATAAATAGAAGGTCAAAGTGCAAAAGCATGACTGAAATCAAATATTTTACCCTCCAGATCAGTAACAGGTCATCTAACCACAGTTAACACTGAAAAATCTAACCGCGTCATGGAAGACAAAGCATTATCTATTAGCATATTGGTTGTGCACCAATGATTACTGTAAAATTATGAAGACGTTGCAGCACTGAATGCTTGCACTGTGAGATTTGTGGGTAACCTTTTTTTAAAAAGCTGCTGCAGAAGGTGAAATCGGCATCGCAGTCGCCGACCCATCCGGCACAGATCAGTAGCAGCAATCCCAACTCGAAGCTCGTATCGTACAGTCCGAATACATCCATTCACACAGTCTCAGTGAGGCCGACAACTGGGCTCTAACAGGACCCTCTTTCCTGGAGGATTAGCGACTCCGTTCTGCAGGTCGCTCTGCTCAGAAATGGCCCGTTTTAAGCTGCGCCCGTTAATGGACCCGCGCTGCCATTTGCAGATGTCACCGTTCAGTATGTCTTGGATGTGCTGCACGATGAGGTTGATGGCCACTGTTGAGAGAGCGAGAGAGAGGATTTGTCGAGCATTCATGTTGGAAAGATTAACAGGAAAGCATCTTTTCAGAAAGAAGAAACACTTACCCATATTGTCAACTCCCCTTGGAATGATGACATCTACATACTTCTTTGTCTGAAAGAGAAAAGAGGTGAGGTAGTGCTTTAAAATGTCTGCTAAAAAAGGAGGATTGCTGACAAAATAGGAACACAATTACATCACACTTACAGGCAAACAAAACTCTTCAAAAGCAGGCTTGACAAACGTCGTATACTGAGTGAGAATCTGTTCCAGGTCCCTCCCTCTGTTCATGTCTCGCAGAACTACAGGGAGAAATTAGGTCAAACTATTGATATACTGTTGCAACATCTGGAATATTGCACGTGAGAGAGACACTGATACCTCTGCGAGACAGTCTGACGTCTGAATCTGTGTCCACGAAGAGCTTCATGTGAAACATGTCGCGCACTTTCTGGGTGTAGAAGACCAGGATGCCTTCGAAGAGGACCACGTCTGCTGGGTAAACTGTGATCGTGTCTTCCAACCTGGAAATACACGCAGATATTCATACAGAGGCAATGGTGATAAGCATTATTAGTTCTGTGAAAGACTGAAAGGAGATTGTGAAATGCTTCCTTCCTACCTGGAATGGGTGACGAAGTCGTACGTTGGCACTTCAACCACCCTTCCCTCCACAATGTCCTTCAAGGTTTTGTACATCAACTCGTTGTCAAACGCCTCTGCAGAGACATTTAACAGAAACAGAAATTTTGAATGCAGCAAGTACTTGAAGTGATTTGGAAACAGTTTTCTAGTACATAGTTCTGCTTGTGCAAACTGGCCAGTAAGCCCCCAGGGTTAATTCTTCAAAGCTTTGGCAGAGTAGCATATCACAGCTAAATAGATGTTAGTGCAGAGTCTATTAAGAGCAAGTTTAACTGCAGAATTCGCTGTCATTGTCAAAAACCTTTGTCGCTGCAATTTAACAACCAAAATGACAGTGACAGTTTGACTAAATACCACAGACTGCACATAAAACTCTTAATACACAGCCAATTGTATATACATAAATGGAAAATAATGTATCGTATTATGAGAGATACTGTATGTATAATTCCCAAACATCAAATCACATTATCAAAGCAAGACAGTCCAGTCCAACCACAGTCCAATATGGTTGTTTTGTGATCTCAGGTGAGGTTACATTTAATGAAAGTTGAATTTGCAACAGAATAACCTCTGCACAAATTGGTAATAACATTATAACAGCATGGAAAAACTAAAATAAATGCATTGGTGTTGGTTGGACATTCCAGGTGGGGGAAACACTGGCATTGTTATAAAAGTTCTAATAAAGTAATAAAGTTATAAAACATAAGTGCACCCTGGTGTACTGATGTGAAGAAACTCTTTGGCTTACCTGGGTGATCAAAGTTGTACTGGCCCTTCAGCGCTTTCGCCTTCTGATCTGGAGTCAGGACTCTGTAGAAGCTGTCCTGGCTTATAATAGCCACCTTCCTCTGGCGGTGGTCCACCTTGTTCTGGCCCAGGAGCTCCATGATCTTGGCGCAAACTGTCGACTGCGGCAGAAAACTTCACTTAACTCACTCAACTATTGATCTTTATGAGCTGTCACAATGCATTATTGGGTTAACATAGCTGGGTATGGTGGCGGTGTCGGGAGGAACAGAGGGCAACAAAAGTTCTTAAGTGGGAAATGAAGTGTGGCATCATCAGTGACCTTCTGTGTGTGTAATGTTTGTCAGCTGACTCGATCTGGTAACATTTAATACAGCGGCTAGTTAGCTCTGTGAGGCTCTATGAGGCTCTTTGGGGCTAAAAAGTCACCCCAAAAAAAAGTGTTAGCAGTAAAAAAAATTAACAGAGCAGAAATGTAGTCACAGTTCTAGTGTGTTATTAAATAAAATAAAGATTAACTAAGCAAGGGGGCGTGCCAGCTGGTTTGACAGCGCGCTTAATGCTAACGTTGACCATGCTACCGAACCGAGCTAAGCTACGCGGGATGCAAACTTCCGTCACCGGAAGATCCTCCGGTTGAATAACAACTGACCTTGCCGCTTGCGGTTCCCCCGCTGACCCCTATCAGGAAGGGGCTATGCCGTGGCCTCGCTGCCTCGTCTAGGGCTCCGAGGGCATCCATCGCAGTCCAACAGTTGAGGAAGACTGCGGTTATCTAGATAGCTTGGCTAAGTGCTAGTTATGCTGTGCGCAGTTCTCGCGAGAACTTAACGGCTTTTCCACCGATAGTATGAACACGGGACCGCTTAGGGCGGAATTGCGTTTAATATTTACATAAAATAAGATTAAATCACTACATATAAACATCTGGAGCGGAGCTAGATTAAATGTTTCAATGAAATAGAATAAATTAGAATCTATATACATCATCGGCCGTTTAGTTCATTGTTCAGAATCCATGAGAACAAAATACAGTAGCAATCAAAAGCATGTTTATTAAGAAATTAAATATATACATCTCACAAAAACACATATACAGTATTTAACAAAGCCTCATTGTTTTTCTGGGTCATTGCCGGATTTCTCTGTCTCTTCACCACACTGTGACTTGTCCTTGCCGGATTCCTCCAGCACTATCTCCAGAGCAGCACTCCCTTCAACCCTCTTCACAGTCTCTCCTTTGGCAGCAAGGATTTCCTCAATGTTTCTAAAGTGTAAAGAAACACAGCATGAGTCATTCAGAAATATACTGTACACACTGATATTGATGAATCAAAGACTCTCTGGTGCATTCTGAACAGTTTCGGCTCCTTAAGACATCCTGAAGCCCCAACCACAATTTAAAGCTCATGCTCCACTTCAGTATACTTTTAAAAAAGAGATGTAGCCGCTTTGTTAAACACTGGCTAAGAACATGTATTCACACAACAATGTTATCAATGTGTATGTATATATGTGTATGTATACATCAGGCTTATTACAGATATACTGGTATTGGCATGTATGTTGGTGAAAAAGAAAGTTGTAGACCAGAAGTTTAAATATGTTTGAGGTGATTAGGAAACAGTAAGAGTTCACTGTTTAACTTTCACCTGTAAAATGTTACACACAGTATATAACTTTGAATTTAAAACAAAAAAACAAACTAACCTCTAATCATATGACACCAAAATACTGCTGCTATGGTTGGATCCATTACACATAAAGAGGAACACCAACATCAGTGCAACCACGCCACTAATAATTTCGTTTTAGAATTGATTTTAAACTTTTGTTGTTTGTTTTTAACACCATTAACGGCTTGGCCCCCTCTTACTTGTCAGAGATTTTAACTTTTCGCAATTGTGGCAGAGCCTTGCGCTCTTCGGGTCAGCTTCTGTTAGAGGTCCCTAGGTCCAGACTTAAACAGTGGGGTGATCGTTCTTTTGCCGTCGCTGCTCCTAGACTGTGGAACAAACTGCCCCCTGACATTCGCACCACTACTGATCTCGGCCTTTTTAAATCGAAGCTTAAGACCCACTGTTTTAGATTAGCATTTAATTCTGACTAGGACAGTACTGTCTCTTAGGTGTACTCTTTTTATCTGCTCCTCTCTATGCATTTCTGGAAGGCTTTTAATACCCTGCAGTGCTGCAGCACTACAGCACTTTAAATTGTATCTGTATATTATATATGTGTTATGTATTGTTTCATGGCTTTGTTGTAAAGCACTTTGGGTACCTTTCGGCTATTGTAAAGGGCTATACAAATAAACTTGATTTGATTTGATTAATAATGCTTATTCATGGTGTGGATGTTGTTATATATAAATCAATGATATTCTGTCTTATGTTCAACAAACCTCTTTCCCTCCAGGTCAGAGAACCAGCTGAGGTTATCGGCGATGATGTGGTGATTCTCACAGCCTGGACAGGTCACTATCACAACGCCTTTGTGATAAGCCAGCTTGGATATCTTCTGCGTGGACCTGGTGGAGCAAACCTGCAAAATAAAAATAATAATAATAAATAAAAAAAGACCCGATTTTTCACGTTAAGATATTTAACCAATCATATTCCGATCCTGACAGAATAAAGCAAAAGCAACGACCGGACCTTGCACGTGTACACGAGCTGATAGTGTTTGGACTGAATCTGTCCGATAGCTTCACTCCTGACACCCGGGGAAGGTGAGCATCCTCCGTGACTGCAACCACGAGCTTCCCACCTGTGGACAGGTGACACAGCACGAGAGAGAAGCCCCGTGGCGGTGTGTGGTCGACGGACACTGGACAGCGCTGAACGACCGGGGTGACACCGGGACAACCGGCGGACAGTCAGCGTCGTCCTCGAAGAAACTGGCGGACGTAAAGTAGTGAGACATTTAGTTATTAGAGCCAACATGACGGCGGCTGTTTCGTGGGTGTGTCGTCGTCAGCGTGCGCGTTTGTCGCGGTTTGATGCCGTCACGCATGTTGACATTTTCAAGCAACTTTTTTTTTTTTTTTTTTTTTTTAACAGGAAATTTAAAAATGAGCACATTTCAGCAAGCTAACATCATTCAACAGCCACATAATAAATATTAATAATAATAATAATAAATAATAATAATAATAATAATTAACTTGGAAGTGAGTTTCTTTTTGGCTGAAAAATATATGAATTAACTTATTTGTTTCAGTAAATGCATTTCTGTGTATGTACAAAAAAAAAAGTAAATTAAATATTTCCTCAAATACGGAAAATATGTATAATTAATATTGAGGTACTTTTGCATGAGTATTTGCATTTTATGCTACTTTAATCTTACAGGCTGCTCTTCCACATTTCAGAGGACTTTAAACGCATGATCAACAAGTATAATATGATGCATTACTATAGGTTAAACAACCCAGATGTATAGGTAGATAAAATGAGTCCAACCTGACCACCTACCAACCTTAAAATGCTGCTTACACATTCATGTATCACTAATAATAATAATCCTGTAATATAATATAATAAAAAAACACTCTAAAAAGGGGCCGCTGTGTATTGTGAGTGCTTTTACTTTTAATGCTTTCAGTAAATATCCTTGTGTGGCCTGAAGTTATTTATTTAAACACAACCACCAGAGGGTGACATAAAAGCTTTGATATCACCTCTCAGATTCTAATTTTCCTTCCAATCTCAAAAATAAACTTTGGATCCATCCTCTTGTATATTAGTAATATTGTACTAGTTGTGCACATATAGCCTTGTTTGTAAGTGTTTTAGAGGAAACATTTGTGGTAGGGGCAGATTATGCATTTATGACAAAACAATTTATGCTATTGTCCCAAAATCACAAATTACAGTTTGCCCTATGGGGTTTTACAATCTGTACAACATTCAACACCCTCTGTTCTTAGACCCTCAATCATGGTAAGGAAAAACTCCCCAAGAATCCCCTTTTAACAGGTAACAATGGAAGAAACCTGGCTAAGGCTGAGCTGAATGACAATCAGCACAAATGACAAATTGGGTGAGCTGGTGGTGACTGAAGAGTGTGTTGCTTAATCCTGCTTGGAAATGTGGTGGGAAGGTTCCCAGTGCTGACACACTGCCTCTGTGGTGAGTCCATGTTCAGTTTTTGTGTCCTGTATTCCTCTGTTACAACCTGAACAAAAAGTGATGTTAACATAGAGCAAACACTCATGATAGACAGAACAATCATTATACCTAATAATAAATGACACGAGGTGGTCTACCACAAATCACATGATCCCCAAATGCTGCTGGTTTAATAGCATACTCTCCATATCTGATATTCTGCTCAATTAAAATTTACAGGAAGCATTCATTCCTTATTTATAAGACCTTATTTTAAGCAAACATTTATTATTCAGTGGGAACAGTCCTCCCTGAAATGTAGCCTTTTTGAAAGTGTATGTGATATTTGAAATTAATTTGAGAGAACATTTTCTACAATACTTTTGGTCATGATGATGAGAATTTCTTTTAAATGCTTTGAGCTGAGGAGTTAATGTTGGCTACAGTTCATTTCATTTCATGCCGTGTGTGGCTTTTGATCAACACAGTCTCCAAAATGATCTAGTATATTAATGTCAGACACTTTGTGTTGGTTTAATGCACAGTGAAATCACTTTTTTATTGATCGCAGATACATTTTTCTTAGATTCTGATTAAGAATACTTACATTGTAAACCTTGCATATCATACTTGTGTAATACTGTAACTAAGGCCATGCCAATATAGCACATTTAATTTGATTAACAGTAAACACATACAGATGTCAAGTAGTTATATGACCACTATAAAGTCAATATAGTGCCACACTAGCAGAGAAATGTCTTGAAAATATACTTTTTTTATAAACCTTTACATCCCCACATCACCAAAAAAAAAAAAAAAAGAAAGACAAGAAAAGAAAACACTGAAAACAAATATGAAAGCCAGTGTGGCAGCCCCCTTAATTGGTAGGCTAATTAGGTCAGAGTCTCAGACTGTCTCAGCTAATTTTAGTTTACTTCTCTCAAATGGCAGTTTCATGGCAATTGGAAAATTGCCATGTTTACATATTTTTGGCGTTATGTTATTTTTTTGCTATTTCCTTGTTGTACGTGTTTTCTCTTGGGCTTATACTAATGTAGTCTGACCAGACTTACGTGTTTCAGTAACTATTACAAGTGTTGTAATTAATTTGCAGTGTGGGAAACTGTATTTCCCATGTCTAATAACTCCTACTAATAATTCTTATTGGCTGATATTAGGTGGAGAATATTTACCAATAGTTGAACTCTAAGTGAGCCAATTACTTACTTTATAAACTTATTTTCTATTATTATTTTAAAAAAACATGCACACATCTACCTACATAATGAAAATATAACCCATTGTGATATCTGAAATAAAATCATCTGACTCTTTGACTGGAGCTATTCCATAATATTGCCAACCCAGACTAGTCTAACTTTAGGCTATTAATTCAACATATATCAATATATTGTTTATCCATAATAATTAAGCAGCTATACTAAAATTTCTCCTCCACATCATTCCCGATTTTTTTTTTTGTATATATATATCATAATAGCTGATTGAGGATTTTTTTTATTTTTTATTTCTCTCTGTGGGTATGACAGTTGATTACGCCAGCGCCGTGCTTTTATCTTGATAGCGGCAAGCGTGTGTCAACACTTCCGCCAGTCTCGTGTAGAAACCCAGGCTTCGTGAGAGCGAACGAGCACACTCGGCTCACGCCTTCGAGTCGGCTCCCCCGGCCCGGTGTCCGCCACAGCCACACCACCCGCCGAGGAAAAAACGTTTGAGAAATGTGTCACCCGTGTGCGGAGGTGGCGAGAGACACCAGCTTTAATAAAACAGGTCGGTTTTTTTTTTATTAATTTTATTTCTCTAACGTGTGTGTGTGTGTGTTTCAGGGTGATTTCACTGCCGCAGTTTCGCAAACTGGGCATCGGTATGAGGACATCCTTTCCCGTCGCCACCCGGCCGCCTGTTGTTGAGGAGAAGCCCATTTTATAGGGGGAAAAAGGTCGCTCACTGGGTTAGATTTACATGTTATGTTATTAAGACTGCGCTGCTGTCAGTCTCTTATTCTCAGATGAATAGCTGATGAAATATTCTTGATTTTTTTCAGTAACGTTTGGTCCACAGTTGGAGGCCGGCAAACGTTACATTATTCTGGTATCATGACAGACAGTCGTACCGTTTAACAATGGATTTTAATTTTTTATATATATTATGATCTGTCTGATACTGTAGGTCGTGACAAACAATGAAGCACTGTTTTTATATTTTTGTGAATTAGTGTTTTTTTCCTCACGGTATTTTCATTATGACACGAATATTGCAGTAGTATTGTAGGACATAACATGCTTTTACGGGTGTATATGGCTGGCGTGACATTTGTATTATGTCCCTGTAAGATCCTTTTTATAGCGTTTCTTTTTATAAGGGCTTAATGTGCCCTTAGTCAAATTATATTATCAACATATGCTTTTGCAAGGGGGTTTCGATTGACTCTTATCTGTGTGTGTTGTGAGCATGTGTGTGTGTGTGCAAATGTGGCATCACCAGTGCTGTCATTAAAAGGGAATTGGCTTTTTTTGTGGGCTAGAACCAGTTAGACCTGGATAAGACTGAAAACAATGTCCTGTCTGCTCCATGTCTTGATGTCACAACTGTACTGTTGCCAGAATTGGGCAGATGGGTTGAGAACAGAAGCTATCTCTCATCTTCTACTGGTGGCCCGAGGAGAAGGTTTTTTTTTTTTTTTTCCAAGGAACAGGAAAATGGTGTTTGTGATCTCCTTATCAGCTGCAGAGAACATGAACCCTTTTACCTACAGTACGCCTGTAACGTCCACACAGAATGGGCTTTAGTTAGGACCCAGCAACAGGCAGATGGATAGAAATCTAAATGACATTCACTTCTTAGATGCATTTATTTGTGGAAAGGTTATTTATGCAGAAGAGAGAAGAGATTCAATTCCTATAGTCAGGAGTTTTGTCGAAACTTGTTGTATTTTCAAAACCATAAGAGACTTCCTTGGTAGGGTTGCACAGATTTGATTTGCAGTATTGGCATGGAGGCCGACATTGACCATATTAAGGGGATCAGGTGTCAGCCTTGCATAGCCACAATAAATATAGTTTCTTTGTCGAATTCATTTTACACACAGCATCCCGCACACTCAGTGTTTAGCACCACAACAATCCCTGGCCTCATGTTACCTTACATAAAATGGGTGTCAATCAGTTGCACGCAGTGTGGTGTTGGAACAGTAATTGGGATCAGCAGATATCCTGAATTAAGGTATCAGAATCGCATTGGGATAGAAAAAGTTGGAAGTGTGCTCTCCTTTTTCAGTTTAAGTTGTGCACTAGTGCTGGAACTGTCAGTTAATCTACTAATCGTCTTTTTAATTAATAATCTATACAGAAAATCCTGATTATAATTTCTTAAAACCCAATGTGATGTCTTGTCCAGTCAAGACCCAAAGATATTCAATATACAGTGATGTCAATTAGGAAATGATTACTGTCAAATGGCAAAATAGTTGGAGATGTCTTAATCATCTAATTATGTCAGCTCTCTTGTGTTCCCATCAACAGCAGACGTTCAATATGAGATGGTCTGAGACTCTTTTGGTCCTGTCTTAAGCTAGTGTGAGACTTTTGGTTTAGGTTGAATATTTCCCTTAAATCTAGACCAGTGTGTGTTAAGCAACAACCACAACACTGGAATCTGGATATAATGGTCTCAACAACTAAAAGCTGGTGAAAGAATCCCCAAATGTGTCATTCCCTATTGATTGCCCATCCATGCTGTATCATAGGGTGTGTACTGTCAGGACAGAATTACTCAGTAAATGTGCAAGGCCCTCGTGTTGCTAGCACTGAAGATCCTTTCGGTGTATTCTAGCCCTTAAATGGGAATCTGAAAGTTGTTTCAGGGAGAATATTGAGAGATATTCCAAACACAAAAAGCACATATCAAACTAATGGGATGTAATGAATGTTTGGAGCCAACTATTAGCGGTATGGTGATGCTGGCATTCATCTATCTTTCCATTCATCTATTTCCTAAGCCACTTATCTTCTTAATGGTTGCAAGGGATCTGGAGCCTATCCCAGCATGGATTGGGCGAGAAGCAGTGTACATCGTAGACATGTTTCTAGTCTAACACAAGGCTAACACACACAGAAGAACAAGACTACGGGTTGAGTTATGCTTAAAAATAAGTAGTTCTTATGATGTTTTGTCCAACCTCGTCGGGAATCAAACATGCTGGCGGTAGCGGCGCACAGTGTATCCTTGAAGACATTCATGGTATTGAAAGCTAGCGAGAGATGTTCAACCCCTGATTCCTTCCTCACTTCCGCACAGCTGGCTTCGGTGTAAAGTGGGTGTGAATGAGGGATTGTGGGTTTTGGACAGAAATGGTTGGACACAGAAGCCGATGCGAAAGCAAATGTACCTAACCTCCTTGTCTTAAGACCCAATTGAAGGGGGAACGACTGCAAAGAGACATTTCAGTCAGTTTCTTTATTTTTCTGTTCGACTGTAGCTTTAGTTGAGAGACACTAGTGTCCTTGAGTGAAATTAGAGTTGGCTCTGTAATATATTGGCTCCCACAGCGACCAGGTTCACCTGCACCTCTCTCAGCCCATGTGTCAGAGCCTCATCAACAAAGACCGCCTACACAAAAGCAGCTCTGTTCAGGGAACAGATTCAGGAGAAAGGTAACGGAGTAAGGATACAAGCAGGAAGTGCAGTCTCGCTGACCTCCTGTTTTTTTAATTTAGGACATCATGGTATGGTGGTATGGTGAGAGTGATCTAATAGCTGTATAGTTCATCAAAGTGGAAGTCCTTGGTTGAAATTGTGGAGTCTTTAGGGGAGATGGGTCAGTGGGATGCATAGACAAGATAAGCTGCTTGCAGACTGTTGTTTATTTTCCTGTGCCAGGATAATAACAGATCTTGGACATTCTTTTAAACTAAAGATATTAGGGACTCTGATTATGTCACAGGATCTGGACTTGGTCTGGAGTGAAGCTCTTCTAAAGCTTGAAGCTTTTATTTTAAGACATGCTACGTGAAGTTTGTTCTGACAGTTTATCTGATCTTGTCACTTATCAGTGAAGTCACGAGACAGGCCAGTATCTATAGTTTGAATTGGGGAAAACGCCTACTGCTTCAAATATGTCTGCAATCTGTGTTTGGCAGGAAGAAAAAGTGGAAGTGAGCAGGTTTTTCCTTTAGTGTGTGTTGTATAACCACAAGGTCACACTTTCAGCCTAAGCATATTTAATGTACTGTTCTGGTCTTGGAATGGTCACATTTAGAGGTGGGCAGCTGTTAGGGTTACTGTGTGTGCTGTAATTTCTGAGTTGAAGTAAACAGCAACCTAACAGAAGAGGCCCACAGCGACTGTACTGCCATTCTGGTTTGAACTGGATAAAACAAGGCTTTCTTTTTTAGCAACTTGACCAGCTATCCTCTTTCATCATTTTCCTGTAAGTAAAGGGTAATCTGAGTGGACAGGGAGAGGATTTTTTTTTTTTAAATTAACTCCTCCCAACTTTGTATTAAACTAAGAAGCAGACATGATAAGACCATGATATTTGGATATTCTCTATATACTACATGATTGGGTTTGTCCACATCAGACTTATTCTATGGTTAACATTAAGTGTTGAAACACATAGAATAGGGGAAATAAACTGCTTAGATTGCTGTATTTATTGCATTACTGACACATTTACTGTATGAGGAAGTAAAATGGTGCTTTGACAGATGCACTCAAGTGTAAATAGACGTCTGGGCTTTTGGTTTTATGGTGTATTTGTTACGTGGTCAGCAGCCTGGGCTTTTGGTTTCGTGGTTTATTTGTTACGTGGTCAGCAGCCTGAGCTCACTTGGTATCGCTTCCATTTTGCAGAGAGTTTCACAGTCAAAGTTCAAGTTGTTGTTCTTGGCTTGATTTCAGTATTCCCATCCACTCTGATACTTTATTCTCTGTACTTTTAAAGGTCCAGTGTGTAACATTTGGGAGGATCTATTGGCAGAAACTGAATATAATATACATAGGTATGTTTTTATTAATGCCTAACTACTTGAAAATGAAAATTGTGTTTTGATTTAATATGCCATTTTTATCTACAGAGGAAGCGGGCCGACTTCTATGGAGTCCGCCATGTTAAACCGCCATGTTTCTGCGGTAGCCCGGAACAGATAAACCAAATACTGGCTTTGGATAGGACCTTTCGTGTTGTTTGCAAGTTTTGCAGCCACTGTAGTTTCTCTTAAATGCTTGGAATGGGAGGGTGAGGCAAGGGTGTTGCAATTAGTAACTACACTGCTAGATGCCAGTACATACTACACACTGGTCCTTTTTAAGAAGTGAAAAATACCATTTCACAAAGCTCATCAGGAAATAGTCATTCATGTTTGTATGTTTTTTTTAGATGTTGAAGTGTTATTTGACATTATTACTCTAAAGAAGAAAGTGTGAAAGCACATCAGAAGATTCAGAGAAACAGTGACTTGTATGAACATGCGTGCTGTGTCAGAATTTGTGGTCCTTTTGCTTCTGGCTTGCTCTGCAGTCTCTGAACAACAGTGTGCTGTCGGCACATGCAGGAGGCCCAGGATATCCTGATGCACAGCAGATACACAGCAAATGTAATGACTGTGTCTCTTTGTGTGCAGCTAGTCTGGTATACTCTTGGCCTTAAACATGCTGACCGGGGCTGTATGTATGATGATGATGAAGATGATGATAACTGAATTGAGAGTTCAGTCTCTAAGTATAGGATTTATTGATTTGCCTGAACCAGAACATAGAAAGATCTGTGTGTGAATCTGTAAAATATTTAAAGTTACAAGCAGTTCTATTCTTACAATATAAGAAACAAAGGGAGTCAAAGAGGTTAAACAAGGCTTACTAACTCCACTGCATTAGATGTAAAAGAGCAGAAGGGTGAATGTCTAAACATTATCATTTTAGCTGTAACTATACCATACTACACTCAGACATTTAACATTTTAGATCTAGTCTTGCATCATTGCTCTCTACATTAAGGCTGGTGGTATACTAGGGTGTGAGGTGTCAATTAGTCCATCAACAGAAAAGTAATTTGAAACCATTTTGATTTTTGATTCATAGTTTCTCATATTCCAAGCAAAAACTTAAAAGGTTTGCAGGTTTCTGCTTCTGAAATGTGATTATTTGTTTTTTTTCCTGTTTTTATATAACGGCAAATCATCAGGTTTAGTGTTGGTTGGGCAAAACAAGTCATCCCTTCGGCAAGTTTTTATGGGGGGTCATTTCATCGAATAACAAGAATCATTTGTTGCATCTCAAGTTGTGTTAAAATACCTGAATAAATCTTTAAACTGCTTGTTTTGTCTGACCAATAATCCAAACTTGACATGTCGCCAACTAATTCCCTGTTTTCTTTGTCTTTTTAGATAAACCATCATGATTCCCATCACAGAGCTCCGGTACTTTGCTGACACCCAGCCAGCATACCGTATCCTGAAACCATGGTGGGACGTTTTCACCGACTACATCTCAGTCGTCATGCTGATGATTGCGGTGTTCGGTGGTACGTTGCAGGTCACACAGGACAAGATGATCTGCCTGCCTTGCAAGTGGGTGGTCAACAAGTCATGCGAGACCATGCCCTTCCCAAATGTGAGCACCACCAATGCACCAGAACCCAAAGGCATCCAGTATGACCTCGACCGTCATCAGTATAACTATGTCGATGCTGTCTGCTATGAGAACAAACTACACTGGTTTGCCAAATATTTCCCCTATCTGGTGCTACTCCACACCCTTATCTTTCTGGCCTGCAGCAACTTCTGGTTCAAGTTCCCCCGCACAAGCTCTAAACTGGAGCACTTTGTCTCCATCCTCCTCAAGTGCTTTGACTCTCCATGGACAACAAGGGCTTTGTCTGAGACCGTGGTGGAAGAGAGCGACCCCAAACCTGTGGGAAAAATGAACGGGTCAATGGATAAGAAGGCCTCATGTGTGAGCGAGGACGTCGAGGCTAGCGTGCCCATGCTTCAACGAACAAAGTCCAGAATTGAACAAGGAATTGTAGATCGCTCTGAAACTGGGGTTTTAGACAAAAAAGAAGGGGAGCAGGCCAAGGCTCTTTTTGAGAAGGTGAAGAAGTTCAGGATCCATGTAGAGGAGGGCGATATAGTGTACCGTCTTTACATACGTCAGACCATCATCAAAGTAATCAAGTTTATACTGATCATTTGCTACACAGCCTATTATGTACGCAACATCAGGTTCAGTGTAGTGTGCTCTGTGGACATTCAGAATCTAACAGGGTACAGCACGTTCTCTTGTGCCCATCCATTAGCAACTCTTTTCAAGATTTTGGCCTGTTTCTACATCAGCTTGGTGGTGGTTTATGGTCTCATCTGCATGTACACTCTTTGTTGGATGGTCAGCCGCTCTCTCAAACGCTACTCCTTCGAATCTATTCGCGAAGAAAGCAGCTATAGTGACATCCCTGACTTGAAGAACGACTTTGCCTTCATGCTACACATGATAGATCAGTATGACCCTCTCTACTCCAAGCGCTTTGCGGTCTTCCTGTCAGAGGTGAGCGAGAACAAGCTGAGGCAGCTGAACCTGAACAATGAGTGGACGTTAGAGAAGCTGAGGCAGCGCATCACCAAGAACTCCCAGGAGAAGCTGGAGTTGCATCTGTTCATGCTCAGTGGGATCCCAGACACAGTGTTTGATCTGATTGAGCTGGAAGTGCTCAAGCTGGAGCTTATCCCTGATGTAACTATCCCACCGATCATCGCCCAGCTCTCCAACCTGAGGGAGATGTGGCTCTATCACACACCAGCTAAAATTGAGGCCCCAGCTCTTGCTTTCCTGAGAGAGAACCTAAAGTCTCTTCACATCAAGTTCACAGACATCAAGGAGATTCCGCTGTGGATCTACAGCCTGAAGAACCTCAGTGAGCTGCACTTAACCGGGAACCTGAGTGCTGAGAACAATCGGTACATCGTCATCGATGGGCTTCGGGAGCTCAAAAGGCTTAAAGTGCTACGTCTGAAAAGCAATCTGACTAAGCTGCCACAGGTGGTGACAGATGTGGGCGTGCACCTCCAGAAGCTCTCCATAAATAACGAAGGCACCAAGCTGATGGTGCTCAACAGCCTGAAGAAAATGGTCAATCTGACAGAGCTTGAGCTTGTTCGCTGCGATCTCGAACGCATTCCACACTCCATCTTTAGTTTGCACAACCTGCAGGAGATTGACCTGAAGGACAACAATCTGAAGACAATAGAGGAGATCATTAGTTTCCAGCACTTGCACCGGCTTGTGTGCCTGAAGCTGTGGTACAACCAGATCGCCTACATCCCCATACAGATCGGAACACTTACCAATATGGAGAGGCTGTATCTCAACAGGAACAAGATAGAGAAAATCCCCAGCCAGCTTTTCTTCTGCCGCAAGCTGCGCTTCTTAGACCTGAGTCACAACAACCTGACCAGCATCCATGCTGATGTAGGCTTCCTTCAGAACCTGCAGTACTTCGCTGTGACAGCAAACAGGGTAAGAGGCAAAGCTTCCCTTGAATTTGTACAGTCCATGTTTTCATTTTAGTGAAAGCTAGAAATGTAATCTGTCTCCACCCCTCCATCTTTCTATCATGTGTGAACAAGATTAGCTCAAAGGCCAGATAAGGTATTTACAAAGGTCAGCGCTTAAAAATGCTTAGATGTTCATAGATAGATTGGGAGTTATGGCTTTAAAGATAACCACATGACTGAGGGCTTTGGTAGTTGTGTCATTGTGTATTGTCAACAGATACTTTGCTGGATATTTTGGGGGTTTTAAAAGTGTCCTGGACAGTTCAGATTTTTGGTCCATGTAGAAGTTAAGAAAATGTTGAAGATACTAATATAATCTTGGTCTGTTTATCTGCTTCCTAGAGACTGAAGTGACAGAACACATGATTCAGTAGCACACAGCAGTCAATTCAAATTTATGCTAACTGCTGACACACACTGTTTTTTTTTTTTTCTATCAAGCTAAGACATAGATACATTTTTTCTCTGAGACCACATTATGATTCTTTGAGCATGATGTACTCCTTGCCCTTCTCACAGTGTAATCCAGCCTCTCCGCTTTAGAGAAGCAAATGGCTGATAAAACTGTTCCCATCTCCTGTAGACTTCCTGAGAAGTTAGCTAAACCCTCAAAGTGGGCTTTATTTAGGATGTTGTTTATCTCAGTTGCAAAGATATTCACCTTAAATACTTGCTGTGCCAAATCCTGCCATCACACTCAAGGCTGGGTTAGTCCATTTGGCTTATTTAAATTTGATCATTCTAGTCTTTTCAAAATGCTGTTATGAATTTTATTCTGCTGGCTGTGAATAATTTGAGAAACCGCGTTCTTCTGAAAACAGCGCCAGGATCATGTGTTTTCAGTAAAGGCTACTATTACTGCCGTTTTATTGTGTTTGCTTGTACACCGAAAATAGGTTCCAGCAGGTTTGTGTGCGGCCAAAAATAGCTCCATTAAATGGGACCCTTCTGGTGTCTCTTGTGTTTTTTAACCCTCTTTACACCGTGGGCACATTATCAATTCAAATGAGTTGTGTAATTGTGAAAAATGTGTCTATGTAGGCGTTTTAATAGGATGTGATTTCAAACAAAAAGGAAATATAGGAGAAGGACTTAATGGAAAATAAGCACACAAAAGGTACAAGAGTACATGACTGATTGTTGATTTTAAATGATTTGTTGACACCATGTAAGCCATTTTTCTTTTCCAGTATCCTACATTTCTAATGAGACTTTTCGACTTGACAGCAAATTCTTACTGCCCTTTAATCTTATTTAGATTTTATTCCAGCGTTGAGGGTTGTGTTGTGTTATCTTTTTTAATTTGGTGACATAGAGCTGAACCATTCTCCAGTCACTACAGTGGAGAATCATTTCCTTTATGCCCTTTGCTCACCTCTCAAATCCCTGCCTCATTTGGCCAAGGCATATGGATTAAAAATTGAACAACTGTCTGATCATTGTTAACTTGACATCCTCCATTATTCTGCCTCTTATCCTCTCCAATTCAGATTGAGACTTTGCCCCCAGAGCTGTTCAAGTGCAAGAAGCTGCGTACGCTGAATCTGGGAAACAACTGCCTGCAGACGCTGCCGTCACGCTTCGGAGAACTCACCGGGCTGACCCAGCTGGAGTTGAGAGGGAACCGTCTTGAGTGTCTCCCAGTGGAGCTTGGTGAGTGTCGGCTGTTGAAGAGGAGCGGTTTGGTGGTGGAGGAGGACCTGTTCAACACGCTGCCATCGGAAGTCAAAGAGCAGCTTTGGAGGGCCGATAAGGAGCAAGCTTGAGCCTAAGCTCAGTGGAGAGCTGCAGAGGAGAGAAGTTTGATTGGAGAAATAAACGAGCAGTGATTTTGTTTATAAAGGCAGGCAAACATTGAGAGGTTTGCAGGAGTGATGGCCATGCCAGTTCAAAAAAAGTGACACCCTATTGTTTGGTTGGTGCTTGGGGCGTCCCTGGCTGGATCTATGAATGGCACGGATGTAAAATTTCAAGACCTCCAGGGATGTCTTTTTGGAAATCACTAGTATCATGTTCGCCAAGGAAAATTCTCATGACTAAGCTTGGTGATTAAAGGTGGTGCAGTAATGTGGCTTTTCTGTAATCATGAATATAAAAGCAAGGAAGCAAGCAGGTGATGTCGAATATGCATGTGACAGTAGGACCTTGCTGAAGCAGACCTGTTTATTAGAGAGAACCAAAAAAAATAAATCAAGAAAAACTTTGCACGATTCAGCCTTGCCGGTGGGCTAAAACTATCACTTCTTTGCTGATCATGTGATACATGCACAAATTGAACATGCTCAAAGCAGTGTTTGCCTGACCTTCCTCTGGCCTTGAGACTCAAAATTTTACTTTTGAAATTTTTATAGTTACATTTGCAGTTGCGCTGCAGTGTGGCTCAGAATACTGACAGATGTTGGTGAATAAATTATAGTGCCACTGACAGCCAATTTGTTGAGGCATGAAAGTTTGGTCCTGTGGTTTTCTCCAGTGTTCGGAGACATCTTTTTATGTGAACAAAATGACTCTGTGATGAACATCAACAGATCATCCCACAGCTGATCTCACAGCTTAGGCCTTAACTCAGAGGACTGATGAAACGGCATCAGTGACAAGCTGTCAAATATTCAGCAGGAACAAATGGTAACAAACTCTACAGTACAATGTCTAAATACCCTCCAGTTGTTAATTTATAACGTCTGCCTGTGCGGCAGCATTTCTTGGCTTTGTGGGAGCTGTAATGGAGAAATGCACCATGTGAAACAGGCGTTACCTTATTTTGCATGACTAAACATAATTTACATTACTGGTGTGTCTTGTTATCGGTTGTGTGATTTGGCCACTTGAACAAGGTACAGAATTTAGCTTGACTTCAGACGTTACCATACATTGGTATCATGTTTGAGCCTGTGAAACTTTGATTCAACATTCAAACAATGTGATCAAAATCCAGTGAGTGAGTGAAAGCCAGGAATCCAGCCATTTATTTGTTGTTTTGTTTGAATTTATTTTAAGCGTCTTATGGAACATATATCTGTAGTCGAAGATCTTAAGTGACCTTTGGTCGATTGAAGGCTAATACATGTTGCTTCATTGACTGGATAGTAATTACACAAGGTGTTTGCGCTTCCCGTATTAAAGCTACAGGCTCACAAACATTCAGAAAACTCCCTGTCAGAGTTGATTTCTTTGTCTGTATTAAATTTAAACACATGCAAGCTTACACAGTGCTAATCTCACAACCATTAGATGACCAATGAAACAAACCAGAATCAAGGTACTTTTTTTAATGATCAGTATGATTTTGAATTATGAGCTCTTAGATTGATTATTACCTCTATGGCACCTCCAAGTGGATGAACTCCTGCAGATAGGAGAGTCTTAACTAGCTGCAAGGTACTGCCAGTCTCCAAAAGCAAAGTGTTGGTGACTCAGTTGCACAGCTGTTTGTATACTAGCCCTTCTATTTATCATGCTCAGTTTACTCCAGGGGAAACTGGACATTCGTCAGTGCTTTGTTTATCCGAAAATAAGGACAAACAGGAAATTACAGAGCGAAGGAAACTGGTTTTGACCGACCTACACAAGGGAAACATTTATTCGCAGAGAGAGTATGCAGAATATGTGATTTCCACATCCATGGTCCAAATTAGTGCAACATGCTTTGTCTGCTTGAAACACTTTTCTTGTTAAGACCTTGGATTTAATAGCATCATTTGGAGTAACCCTGCTATGTTTACTCCAGCCAGGCATCTTGTTGCTAATATATGGCCTTATCTTTTACAAGCTGTATGCCCTGTTAATGATCACAAACATCATGTTCATGACTTGTTTTTTTCACGTGTTGTAAAATGTATGGCTGAAATGTGTAATGTCTGTTGTTTCATACATATCAGTCATATGGTATGTGGTCTTATTGTTACCAGCTGTTTTCTTTTTTTCTTTTAGCTTTTTTAAGCGATTTCAAAGGAAGTTTCACTGTAATCATACAATTGCACCTTTGTTCACAGTGAATTTTGTTTCACTGAGGCCTTTGCTGAATCCAAATGCCCTTCTAGGGGTCATTAGTGAATTTCTCCCTACGCAGTCCTGTTCTGAAAGAAGAGCCTCATTCTTGAATGTGTTGACTAGCAAACAGTTTTAAAGTTGGAAGCAAAGGTCACAGAAAAGGAGCAGATGACACCGGAGAAAGGCGGTAATGCAAAGGAAATCTCAGCTTGTCTAGCTTGTGTAACATTTTTAAAACATAAGGAATGTATGAAGTTGTATGTCCACCTCACTCTGGTTTAGTTTCTGTGGTGCCAAGAAAGAGCAAGAACATGTTTTGCACTACATTTTGCAGATAGTGACCTGTTGGATTCCAAGCTTTGAATGCAAATAGGCAAGTAAATCGAGCACTAGCGCATTAAACTGCAAAAAGATTAATCTTACAGTGCAGTAGCTGCCGGTGGATATAGGGACAGGTCGTAGGACAACTTTTACGTCACTCCAAAGTAAATTTGATATAGTAACATGGCTCCTCGTAGTGGTGCAGTGCAGTTGTCAGTGCTGCTGACACTAAAAGTCTCCCTCCTGCAGTGCACCACAGAGTGTCAGATTAGGACGTTCAAACAATGCCTGTCAGTTATTGTATCAAGTGTCCTTAACCTCATGTCATGAGAGGTTGGATAGTCACACAGCTAAATATACCGTTAGAAAAAAGGTCTGAGCTTTATCTAACCTTAAATTCAGTTCTAGTCTATTTTACTCTTGAAGTTGAAGAGTGCCATAGAAGTCTTTCTCAGGGCATCACTGGGAAGTCATTCAAACCTTGGATTTGCTCTAATTGCAATATACATATAGATTGGGTCATATATCTGGCCTTTCTCCACTTCTGCTTCAGCAATATGACTCAGCCAAATGTTTCTGAGTGTCACTTTTTCCTGCTAACATTTGGATTTATATTCGCCCTAGTCATTGTTTCTGACCTCCAGAGCTGTGACTACGGCCTTGGCAGCCACTTCCCTATTGAGTCACAAGATGAGCACATTTAACCTGCGGTCCCCACTCCCTTTCCTGCGTGTTAGCGTCAGCGAAGGACTGAGATGAGGTCAGTCAGCCATTTGCGGAGCACCAAAAGGAAGGAAGTTTTCGTGACTAATACAAATTCCACTTGGTTACGTGAAAACTGTTATGCTAGCACTTTAATTAGTATCATGTCAGAAGCAAACCATTCTCATCCAGACACTTTAAATAATCCTTTTTATTCATTCTGTGCATATGCGCCAAAATAGTTTTGCTTTGAAACTTTCTCTGTTAAATGTTTTTAAAGTACAAAATATCAAAAATGGTCTTCTGTTTTTGTTTTTATGTTATGTATGCCTTAAGTAGTGTAGCGTGTGAGGCCGCATGATAAGGGTTTTACTGCATACAGTGAATTTTTTTTTTTTTTTTTTCTTCTTGTTTGGACTCTGCTCCTGTCCCCAAAATACAAGACAGGATTTCACAACTGAACAGGAAGAACTATCAACAGAACAATCTTATATACTGTAAATGGAGGTGAGCTCACCCTCCAGTGTGGGCATTGTGTGTAGCAGTACACATCATTGTACTGTTAATATCTGTAATATTTCTGAGGTGTGTACATTGTTGGCCGGTCACATACCATTTCAGTTGAATCCACAAATCGCATAATTCAACAAAAAAAAAAAAAACTGCCATAATTGCATTGACATCTAATCTCTACCTATGTATAAAGACTTTTTTTAAAATCCATGATTGTATTTACTATGTACGATTAATTCATCTCTGTATTCTGATGCCTGTAGATCAGGGATATATGAAAACAGTTCCCTTTTTTCCGGGGGGTTCACATCCATTACATCTTGAAGCGTGAGTTTGTTGATACTGAACTTGTGTGCATTATAGCCATACAGAAAGCCACCAACTTTAACCCCCTAACAACAGTCATTGTTGAATATAGACTGTAAGCTGGATGGACAGTTTTAATCAGCACCGTCTGTATCACACGTGATAAGGCCTTTATTAATGAATCGTTGCCAAGTGGACTGAACACTGGCTTTTTAAGCAGGACGTCTGTAACTATGGACAACTGAACTTTGATTTCCTAATGTTCAGACCCTACTTTTGTACCATTCTGACACGTGATAATAAAATAAACACTTAACACTAAATCCTGTTGCAAAGAGTGGTAATTGCTCATCTGGTGGATGGGTTCTTCTTTCAGGGGAAAGTCTTGAGCACATTGCTGAGAATTTGATTTTAAATACTTAAGAAGAAGTAGGCTAATAGACCCGTTTCTCTGCTGACATTTTGACTTGTGGTTTAATTAATAACATTAACCATGGCTCTGTTCTATTAGATGTCCCAGTAAGTAATTGGAGTGAGCCAGTCATGTTATTAATTACACCTGTGCTTTGCCTGCTGTGATAAAGTTATCGAGTTTTATCTCTTTCTTACAGGGATTATTGATGACACTGCTCCTCAGGAGCAGTCGGGGTATCAGGTCAAATTAAGTAATTCAAATTTAGAATACAGACATTTCTAACTAGAATAAATCCCAAACTATGCTGCCATCCATAGAGCCACACTAAAAACTTTGAGGACAATGAGACATTTATGATAAAAGTTCTTGAACAACGTCTAATATCTGGAAATAATACAATTACATCAATATTTCAGGATGTCAGGCTTAAAAACTAAACATGAGCTCCAGATAATTAAGTAATAATGAACTGTAGTCTTCAGGTGCAAAATATTAGAGACAGACACTTATTCGCGACCCCTCATCACAGGTTGTGTTAATCTACTAAACAGTGAATTGTAAAAGGTTAAATTCATATTAATTTGCAAGAGGGGGGAAAGCAAAGATTAGAGCAAAGTCTCACAAAGTGAACATCATTTTGTGTTGGTTGGGAACCTCAATTTAAGATTACACTTCTGTTTTTAATAAGAAATCAAGGGATGACAGCTCTATAGTGACTGGTGGTACCTGGTGGTCAGATACTAGAATGACACAATTACTTTACCCCCCTTCTTTTGTAGTATTAATAAGTATAGTATTTAACTATCAATAAAAAGTTAAAGTCCATTATGTGTCCCTTAAGTAAAAGTATGAGTATTATTAGCAAATAGTCCTTAAAATATCTATATAGTATTGAGTGAGTCTTATACTATAACAGATTATATCATTGCATTATCAGTATTACTGATGCATAAATGTGTAAGTACTGTAGCATTTTACTGGTGTCAAGGTGGAGTTCATTTGAATTATTTTATAGTCTGTTGGGTATTTTAATCCATAAGTGTGAATTATATTTGTATAAACTCATCCTATGTTTGGTTTGTGAAATCTTAATCTGTAAAGCAACTAAAATGAAGTGGAGAAAAAAAAAAGTACAGACTTCACCTCTGAACTGGGATGGAAATTGAATTGGCCACTAGATGGTGCTGTAGTTAATTTGTTTATTTCAAGATTACAGTAACGACATGAGCGACCTCTAGAGGTCACCCTGGGCTACTACAGCACCGCCATACAGGCTTCTGCGTTGCAACGAAAGAGTTAAAGTCCAAAATCCTATTAGGCCTCTGTATGGTTACACTTTAAATGATTAAGACAGGTCACATGGTCGGAAATCAGTTGCTGCAGGCTGCAGTTTACCCGGATGGTACACATCGTATCCGTCCGATGAGCTGGACCTCTCTCCGAACAGGCCACCATGGATTTTATGACAGATCGGGACGTGCAAAAGGTCAGCATTATAGATAACTGTTATTGTCTACTGCATCACAATCCTGCAGGACTGTGTTGTTTATATCCATGTAGTGTACATGACAGTGTTTGTCCGCGTTTCAGGCTCATTACATAACATGCTGGAGCCACAAGTGGCCTTTAAATCAGGTCTGCACGACCAAATGTACGTTTATTCTTGCTGTGTAAAACACCAAAAGCTGCCTTTTAGTGTAAATTTGCCATTTGCATTAAGACATTGATGAGAATTTGTTAATTATCTCTCTTATTAGTGTGACTAAAAGTAGGAACACAACCATACAAGTATGTCCTATACTGAAATATCTTTCCTTTTTGTTTATTTATAAAAACAAAGTCACAATGTGCCTCATAATGAAATGAAACTGAGCAACTGACATAAAATACAATCAGTAATGAATTGTAATTGAATTGAAAGTATGTAGTATGTGCATTTTAGCATACACTATACCTATATGAATTGCATTGTGTGAAATTGTGGTGAAGACCATTTTAATAATCAATGAATAGCTAAAGCCAATTCTTAAGCAGAAGGGCCAAATCCTTCCATGATCCTTTCTTATAGAGCACAGCAGTGATCGTTGCTACATTTTTGCTATTTCATGTGATAGTAAAGTAAATATCTCTGGGTTTCTGTAATTTAAAAAAAAAAAAAAAAAAAAAAAAAAAGCTTTGGATTTGGAGATTGTGATCACTATTTTCTGACATTTTATAAACTTTTTGTTTCTTTTTTTCAGTCGTTTTCAGCGCAGTCTGATTTGAAAAATCTTGCATATATATTTGTGGGGAAAAAGTGAAAACATATATGAGAGAAAACTACCGAGGACATGTCCTGACTCCTCAGTGATAGCTTCAGCGCTGTGAAATTGACCCTGCAGCTCTTTCCTCTCATTTGACAGTACGTGGAGGATGGGTATGTGGTTCTGGAAGGGCTGTTGAGCTCTCAGGAGTGTGACGAGCTGAGGCAAAGGATGGCAGAGATAGTGGACCAGATGGATGTCCCGGAGCACTGCCGCACCACCTTCTCCACCTATCACGACGAGCAGCTCAAAACACAGGTGACTTAATGCGCGGTACACCTTCAGATGAGTCTCAAACACTGTCAGTGACTCACAGATTCATCCCACAATATTTCTTCCACATGCTTTCCATGATATTGCACGTAAAGATGCAGGTAAGGTTCCTGCTTATGTGCAGTAAGGCAGTGTGTGACCCCCTTCATGATAAAGCTCACGTAGCCTGTAGGTGCATTACCCCTGCACTGATTCACAGTTTTTACCCCGACCCTGAATGCCTCCTCTCAGGCTAATAGCAAACTCTTGTGTCAACAGTCTAGTCAGTGTCAGTGAGGTGTCTCTCTGCTCTGTAACGCAACCATTCCCTGCTAGATCAAGTGACTGATGTTAACCTTTCGACCTGCAGGGAAATGCTGACTATTTCATAACCAGTGGAGATAAGATCCGCTTTTTCTTTGAGAAAGGAGTTTTTGATGACAAAGGTGAGCTCTATAAAAATTCTCTCTAGCCTTTTATACACAGTGCTGCTTTAAATGTATGTGAACCTCCTGAAGATTTTGCAGTTTTCTATTGTTTCACCATTATTTCTTTATTTGATCAGAGCCCGTATTTTTCTATATCAAACAACAGGCACATGTTTATCAATTCCATATATTTTTTTAAGGAAATCAATTGTGGATTGAAAAGAAAATTAATTGTAAACATCAGATGGCACCTGTTATCACCCTAAAAAATACTGGTTCTGATTAAATAAAGAGATAATAGAAAACTCCAAAATTCTTAGGAGGTTTACACACTTTCAAGCAGCACTGTATTGGCGAAAATGACAACTTAAATGGGGATTATGTCTTGCAGGGGAATTCATCGTGCCAAAACAGCGATCACTAAATAAAGTCGGACATGGTAAGATTTCAAATCGCTTTTCCCCAATGTCATGCGCAAAGGATTTTTCCAAAAGTCCATAATTAATTCAAGTCTTTCTCTTTCAGCACTACATGCCTATGAACCATTGTACAAAAAGGTTACACATTCACCCAAGATTCAGGTGAGTGAGCTGTTGTGCAATATCAGAGAATGATGTCCCGAGTCACAGAATAACCAACACTCACATTAAATGTTCTCTTAGGGCATAGCGAAGAAGCTGGGGCTTGCAAGTCCTGTGATACTGCAAAGCATGTTCATTTTTAAGGTAATATCTATATATTTACGTGTCTATGAAATGCTTTATAGTGTCAGATGAGGCTATAAAGGAAATTCAGGATAAGATATAATTTTTATTTCTCTCTGTTACAGCAACCAGGGAATGGTGGGGAAGGTAAGACAACTAAATGTATGTAAAAATAGACTCAATGCAATAAACATTCTTGCCATGAAATATCCTCATAGCCGAGTTTTGTCTGTTTTTTAGTCACGCCGCATCAAGACGCCACATTTCTGTACACAGAGCCTCTGGGCAGAGTTATGGGGGTGTGGATTGCCCTGGAAGATGCCACTGTTAACAATGGCTGCCTGTGGTTCATCCCGGGGTCACACAATAGTAAGCTCACAATATAACTAACCTTGCACTGGTGCTTCTAAAAGTAGTTGCTCCACTCAGTACCAAACACTGTATATGATAATCCTACTTATATTATACATCACACCTTTTCCCAGGTGGTATTTCTCGACGTATGGTGCGCACCCCACCGGGCACCTATCCCCTGACAGACTTCACCGGTCGAGAGCAGACCTACGATGATGAGAAGTTTATCTCCGTGCCTGTTAAAAAAGGTAATTCATTCGTGTCTTTGAATTGAAGTAAGTAAACAAGAGGCAAAAGGAATTTGTATTTTCAAGCACTTTCTTAAAGGCTGTGGGTTCGGTCAGCTGTCACACATTTCCAACCAGTCCTCAACCGCTCTGTGTTCAGGTGGTGTAGTCCTGATCCACGGAGAGGTGGTGCATCGCAGTGCTGAAAACACCTCCGAAGACTCCCGCCACGTCTACACCTTCCACATCATGGAAAGTAAGGACACCCGCTGGAGCCCCGACAACTGGTGAGAGTTTACTAGAATTGGGTAGCATTGTGAGGTTTCTTCTATTTCTTATTTTTATTTACTTTAACGTGTGTTGTCTTATTTGAAAAATGACACAGCCTCAATAAGCTGACGCCATTTCTTTGGTCTTTAAAGGTTGCAGCCCACTGAGGAGCTCCCTTTCCCGCCTCTCTACACTAAATGAAGGATGTTTTTTGGCATTTGGCGCAGCAGTTTATGGAGAGATACTCAATCCTATCCTAAAGAAGGACCAAGATACAGAAGGACCAATATGTATGAACTGTTTTAACCATAGAAAATGTACTGCCATTCTCATGGCTTGTTTGTGTCCTGTATGGAACCATTTGTGGTACGTAGCCTGATGTTACTGCGACAAAGTCAATACTGAATTAATGGTGACTAATTCTTATTTTTGATGCATATAACAATATTTTTTAATGATATTTTTTAATACAGTGAAAAATTAATTTGAATAAACATTTTTAAACTTTTTGACCAACTTTCCATGCACACTCCACAACACAACGGATATTTAGATGTACTTTTATTCAGCAACTCCTCATCAACATTGTTACCAACCAGCATTATTATTGTTCAAGGTTTTTTATTTATTATTTAAATTTGTGTCAAAATGAGATGGCAGATCCCGATTTTTACAGACAACAGTAATCCTTTTTTCAAGTACGTTCATTTTTAAGACATAACTAAAATGAAACAAAACAACACAATTTAGTGTATGAATGATTATTAACCACAGCATCCAAACCTCTTATGTTAATTTTAAAAATCCAATTATGAAACCAAAGGGTTAATGTCCATGTTGTAAGTCATTCGGTCATTCGCTGCTTCTCAATCATCAAGTGAGTGTCAAACAAAAGGACTAAAATAGGAGGCAATTTCTAGCTTTCTTTGATGCACGTAACATGCAATATTATTTTTTATGTAAGGATGTTCGCAAAAACAACATACAAGTAGGATCATGCTAATAAATTGTACATAAAAGGAACCTTTACAGATGAACGTAAAGCTATTCATGGATTCATGCTGAAAACAAGTTTCAGGTTATAAACCGTAGCATCCTCATCTAAGAATGATGAGATGAAACCTGAAAGCAAATATTCAATAATATGGATAAATTGTTACGAAACCAAGTCGCTCAAAACAAAAAGGGCTCATCATTTTGGCCCAAAAGCATATCTACAGACTCCAAACATATGCAGGGTTTGTAGGCTCAGTATCACAAGGAAATGTGTATAAATATATATATATATATATATATATATATATATATATATATATATATATATATATATATATATATATATATATATTAAGTTTACCTTTAAGGGGTCCCATTAAACCTCAGAAATATTAAATAAAGTGAATTTACAAAACAAAAATATACTGTAGCATACCTGTGTACATGTTACAGTACTGAATTTCACATTAGTGTCATGCAGGAGCATAGAGAGTTTCTGCCATGTAGAAGTATAAATCAGCCCTTATGAAGAAGAGTTGAGAGGGGCTGCCATGCTTTCATCTACAGAATGTACAATAGTAGGTCATGTGTGATAGAAAATATACTTCTTAAGGCAAATATTTTCAGCAGTAAGTACTTCATATTGCCATCGGGGAGGCAAAATAATCTGATAACAAAAACGTTGATTAAGAAAAAGACATATCAATAAGCTAACTTTTAAATAATGTTCTTCAAAGGCAATACAAAGGCATGTATCCGTTTGGGACAAGATAGGAAAACCTCATTGATGATCAGAATGTGCCATTTTAGCAGCGTCTCTATTGTCCAGAATTCTGTGTTTAAAAGGACATTTTTTCCTCCCCACTTAGCTAATACTATCTCCTGTTGCATAATTCAGGAGTTGTTGGTGTCAGTGGTCGAGTACCTCGTCGTCAGGACGGTGACACGCAAAAGAAACCATACACCACCCCTGTCACTTTAGACACAGCTCAAAGAATAACTCACATTTCTTTATAACTTATTCTGAAATGATCGTCTCATTGCTCAAAGCAACTGATACTGAAATGATTTGGGAACGCAGCAGAGTCTAATGTCATGCTAACATCATGTCTGCAGCCACACTGGTTTGTTGGATTACCCAGCTTGATTAAGCTGTAAGCTTTTAATTATTCCTTTGTTGTGCTAGTGAAAACTGCTGAAGTCCAGTGATTCCTAAAAGGGACTTCTACTATCATATTTTTACACTTTTTTCCAAATTCAACATTCTTCTCGTCCCCCAGAAAGAGCAGAGGACGGCGGGAGGGGTCGGTTTTTGTTTGTGCCATCTGTCCAGTCAAAGCAACAGCAGGATGAAGAGGTAGAGTGGGAGTAGGAGGTTGTCTATTTGGGAGGTGTAGGCTTCCAACATGGCCACCAGAGTGATAGAGCCAACAATCCATGAGTAGGTGGAGTTCAGATTGATGCTCCCATCGAAGATGAGAAACATGGCCACGGCGATGATCTGGGCGAACACAGATGTTGCCGTCCCCTCCATGGTTTTCTTAGTACCGGGCCAACGGATCTCGCCCATGGTGCTGCCGAACACAGACGCCACAGTGTCTCCGACCCCCACGGCGAGCACACCTGCATACGGCACCAGGCCACCTGCACCAGGAAGTATCCCCTTGGGGGCGCAGGGCCCGGGGAACAACCATATGGGCAGAGACATGCCCAGCAGCAGGTAGACGTGGGTCAGAATAAGAGGCCCAGAGTCCCGCTCATCCAGGAACAAGGTGAGCACCTGCCTGAGCAGCTGACCCAGCGGCCTGATCCGAAAGTAACGCACGTACTCCAGGATCAAGAACACCGCCAAGCAACCGACAGACGCCACATGGAGCAGCTGCCTGTCGTATATCAGCCCTGGAACGTATGTGGCCACTACAATCAGATGGAAGTACTTCCTGACAACAGTCGAGGCCTGGTGCTTCTTGGACCCCGACTGGCGCTGGTAGTTCTGGTGTAACACAACGCAAGTGGCCACGACAGCCATAAACACCCAGTACCCGAGCAGACAGAGTCTTCTGTCATTTAATGTGACAAAGTCCAGCAGCCACATGATGGGGTGCCGGCCGATGAACAGGGAGAGCCACGGCATGAGGATCCCCAGACCCAGAACGGCCGTCATCATGTGAAAGAAAAGCGATGACACCCAGGTCTCGGACTCCATGAAGCAGAAGAGCAGGGCAAAGAAAACACCCAGCAACAGTGAGCCCACCACTACGACCGGCAGGAAATAGTTCACCGGATCACCTTTGACCTCTGCCAGGTTCAGGGAGCGCTTGATGAGCTGGTTCACGATGAAACTGATTCCGCCGACGATGAGGAGCGCCTCTCCCGGTGTGAAGCAGCGTGGCAGCAGGTAAAGCACAATCAGGCTCAGATATACGAAGATCAACAGCACCTCTAAGACCTCGATGACCTCCGACACCGTCAGCGTCTGCTTTGTCGTGTAGAGAATCGCACTGCCAGCCATGCCTGCGATCACGCACGTGTTGGTGGGCACAGGTCTTGTGATGCCCAACGCAATCAGGGAGAGAAACAGAGCCAGCATCATGCCTGTGATGGTGACTACCATGGAGAAGCGCTCGAAGTAGACGTTCCCTGAGGCGGAGCACTTTTCTTTCAGCGCCAGGCCCAGTAAAGGCATCACCATGGATGCCGGGACGATGCCACTGTTCGCCGCGGGACGGAACTGGAACACGGCGCCCCCGGACCTGAGCAGACGGTCCCATTTGTGCTGTACATAGAAGGCCTGGATGAAGAGAGCTATGCTGCACCAGGAGTGCTGGTTCCACACCGCCATGTGGACACACAGCACCACGGCGAGAACTACAGAGGACTCCACGAGCACTGGATTGAACTGCATGGCTGCAGGGTGGAGGCTCGCAGGGAGGGAGGAGGTTTTGATCTGAACAGATGGTCTGCGACGATGAAGGCCTTCTTCTGTCAGTTCCTCTCTCTGGCACACTTCATCATTTGGCAGGCATATTTCACTTTATAAGGATGTCTAATAAAAACAACAAGAAAAAGGGGGTAAATTAGCGAGGTTACCATTATTAGAAAATAAAAATCACCACAAAATAGAATAATAGAAAGGATTATAGGCATTCAGCAGTAGTTCAGAGTCTATGAGTCATCCTAACAGTGATCCTTGCTCATGCTTTATCTGCTCTGTCATGAACTATGGCCATAGTGAACATTCACCCAGTCAGTGTCAGAGCCACACAGCTCTCTAAGCATGCGAATTAGACTCCAGGAACTCCACAAATGGCATGCTCTTTCTACATCAGCTGCAACCTTTTGTTCCTGTGGTGGAGGTTGAGTTGACTACATCTGACGACTATACACGGTGCAAAACAGATTTAAAAAAAAATGTGTTACAGCCGTGCTAAATACAGCCGAGTGGGGCCAGCTGACCGTCACTGAAGCGAGAAAAAAAAAAAAAAAAAAGCGTCCCTATGCAAGCCAAGGATGCTGCAACCTCGGGACAGCATCGAGCTAACAACGGCAAAATACAGCTGACTGTACCGAGTTAGCAGAAGAGCACAGAGCGCTGCACTGCTGGCGGACGGCGACATAACGTGCAAGGTGACAGAGACAAGCGTACGTAACTTACCACATTGGTGCAGTGTTATCTGGACGAAGGTGCGCTGTGATATGAGTCGGTGCCGGACAGATTTCTTCCCTTTGTCAGCTGTCGCTTCTCTCACACCCAGAAGGAAGGGGCCATATTTGACAGCCGGGTCACGTGGTAGAGCCGTAAAAAAAAAAAAAAATCCATAAGAGGCGTGTTTTTTATTTTATTTTATTTTATTTGTAATATTAAATATATTGTTATGGTATCGTGTTGTTAAGAAACCGCATATTTTGTATTTTAAGTTTTTTTTAAAAATAAATTATTTGCATTACAGGAAGTTCAGTAAAAGACACGAATCAAGAATAAATACTGGATTACCGGGAAAGTCAGAAAATAAAGGCAGAAGTTGATGCTTTCATTTTTGCTTAAAATATGGTAATGAAAGAGCGTAAGTTAATAAATTATTTGTAATTCGACGGCGATTATTATTATTATTATTATTATTATTATTATGACTCCAGAAGATGGCAGTTGGTTCACGGAAAAGAAGGCGTCGGCGCCGACGAAGAAGAAACTGCCTATGACGGTAATGACAAGGCAGCACAACAACCAATCACAAGGCAGGAACGAAGATGGCGGAATCCGAGATGAGCGTCAGGTAGGCAGATAGCAACCAACTTTAGTTAACGTCTACATTGTTGTTTCTAAGTAGTTTTTGCAGCGTTTGCCAGTGACCAGACATTTCTGCGCAACCTGGCTGTTTGTTAAGTCGTGTCAGCGGTACCATTTATATTTGACAGTGTGTCTTTTGAGCGGTTAGCACCACGCTAACTTAGCTTAGCATGTGCTAGCAGTTGAACATTTGAATGGCTTTACAGCAGCGCGGTGTGTCAGCCGCATGTCAACAACAGCATGTTGACTCTTAAACTGCAACGCTGATGATTTAACTTGACGACGACCCGGCGCTTGTGTTTGTGGTTATTACTCCTCTCACTTGGCTCCAATAACCGACTGTGGTTAGTGGTGATAAAGGAGTAAGAGGCTGATGTTAGGGGGGTTTTGGCACCGGGAGGACAATGACTCGTTGACTTAACTTAGATTATTTGAATGGAAAATATTTCCCTTCATGTGTTTAAAGTTTGAAAATGGTCCCAAGAGCCTTCACAGAAACTACTTTAACCTTCGACTTGTTAATAAATTAAATTATCTAGATTTTTACCGTCAGTTAATATGAACTGACGATTTTCATATTAAGTAAAACATTTAATGGAAATGCAACAGTATTGTAGTGTAGCAAGTCAACCACAGTCAGCCTTATCAACCTATGTATCTATGTATTTATGTTTTATATTGTTCTGTCTAATTTTTCCCATTAATTTGAAACCTTTGCACTGTCAATATCAGCTGATAACTGTTTCCCAGCTGCTACATGGAACTGCCTTAGGAGTCAAACTTTATCACGTTACATGTAATTTATACATATTTAAGATTTTCTTAAAGTTGAGGAACGGCTTATATATAGATATACAATCACTAGACATACATACATGCATGCATGCATGCATACATTTTTATTCTGTTTATTCAGTACCTGTCAAATACCTGACAGATCAAAAGACTTTTCTAGAGATATTGAATGAAAAGCACCACGGTGTAAATGGTAATAAAAAAAGACATTTGACAAATGTTTACCATCTTAATGTTCCAGGTAGATCAAATTGTACTATTGTGCAAAGCTGCTTTCCTGTGTAATGTGCTTTAATGTCAGTTATCACTTTGCTAAAATATAATATATTATTCTCTCAGGAGCTGTCGAGAATTATGGACCATACTGCTAGGAAGATCTGCACTGCGAGAGCCGGTATGTCTTCTTTCCATATGTACTATTATATGCAGTGTGCAGAGTGTGTGCAGCTACCACAGCAGTATGTAGTTTGAATGAGAGTTTAAGGTCAAATTGTCCCATTAGTACTTTGACTCTCACACGTTTAAGTGTTTGTGTTTGGATGTGCCAAAATCAAAGAATTGTTAATATTAGTCAATTACTATATAATATGTATGAAGAAAATATATTTTTATTTAGATAGTACAGAATATGACGCAAGTGATTTTCCCTCATCTTATTGTGGAATGTTTGATGGGAACAGGCTCAGATAGAGGCCGAACTTGACAGACATTGGGACAGACTGCATCAAGGACTAAGTTACTACAAGCCACCCAGGTATGTCACAGTACAATCCTCACATCAAATACACTATTATACATAACAAACAGAAGGGTAATTGTCAGCATCACTTGTTCTAGCTCATCCTCTGCTGGGAAAGTGAAGGAAAACAAAGAGGTCGCACAACCATTGAAGGACTTTGGTCTGAGGATCAGTAAACTATTGGTAAGAGTCAGAAGTTTCAGTTTTCCGTAAAATATATAATTTGCTATCTTCATCTGGGGGTGCATTTTGAAATGATTTGATGATGATTTAATGCTTTAATAATGTCACAGGGTCTTGATGAGCAGCAGAGTGTACAGCTTTTACAATGCTACCTACAGGAGGACTACAGAGGAACCCGCGACTCGTTAAAGGTGTCTCTTCCCACTTTGATTTTTTTAATTGTTGAAATTTGTGTCTGGTATCTTGGTGCACTTGTACAGCATACAAAAAGTACCTGCCATATGTAGTTTTTACTGAAAAATAACAATACTGATACATTTATCACATATGTAAAAGATGTGATTATGAAAGATATTGAGATTGTGGCTGACTGTGGCTTCTGAACAGGTTGTTCTCAAGGATGAGCGACAAAGCCAAGCACTGCTTCTGAAGGTCAGTACAGATACCTCAAACCATTTACACCTGCTGTATAGTTACGCTTGATTCAGCATCCAATCCGTATATCTGCATATGTGTGTTTATTTACAGATCGCTGACTATTACTACGATGAGCGCATGTGTCTACTCAGATGTGTCCTGCTCTTGCTGACATACTTCCAGGATGAGCGACATCCATATAGAGTGAGAAGCAGTTGGATTTCACATCAGAAAAAGTTTATTTGTTGTCACTACTGTAAAAATAACTCTGCTTGTGTTTGCTTTTGCCCAGGCTGAGTACTGTAACTGTGTAAATAAACTGGAAAAAGACCTAGTGAGCAACTACCAGTCGCAGTTTGAAAAGCTCTTCAAAGCAGAAGCACCAACATGGGAAACTCACGGAAACCTCATGGTGATCATTTGGTTCATTTGGTTAATACAGTGTATTGCAACCTAGATCTAATGTAAATATCCCATGTTAATCACTTTTTTAAGACTTTTTTTTGACTCGGTCATAACTGATAGTGATGCTTGTCCATCAAAGGATGTAAAATAACTTTTATCTATTTTTTTTTTTTTAGACTGAGAGGCAGGTGTCACTATGGTTCCTGCAGTGTCTGAGAGAACAGTCTCTGCTGCTGGAGATCATCTTTCTATATTACGCCTACTTTGAGATGAGCCCGTCGGACCTGCTGAGCTTCACCAAAATGTTCAAAGAAGAAGGCTTTGGTTTGCGGCAGACCAACAGACACCTAGTAGACCGGAGCATGGACGCGCTGGTTGAGCGCATTGGGTAAGAGCGCCTTGTTATATTTGAGTGTATGTGTTATTCATGTTTAAAGTGAGCTGTCCTCCAGGAAGTCTGTCTGTTTGTGGTATTGGACTTTGATTACCGCAATAAGCATTTATCAGCCAATATATCGAATTCATTGTTTAATAATTAATTCCCTGTAAAAAGTAGGAAGAAAATATAATTTATTTCTCCCTGCATCATCTTTAATGTCTGTTATGTTTCTCTGGGCTGCAGATATTTGAGCTCGCTCATCCTGGTTGAAGGAATGGACATAGATTTTCTGCACAAGTGTGCCCTGGAGGACTGTACAGAGCAGCATCAGTTCTCCAGTTCTCCTGACGTCATCAAGGTTTGACCAGAGTTAATTTCAGCACAATTAAATATGCTGTGAGGCAACTCTAGATGAGTGAAACAGTGAATGTGCAGGCTTAAAAAAAAACTAAAGAACTGACTAAATTAGGCTCAAAGTTATGCAGAACTACAAAGTTGAGTAAAACAATGATTCAGGTTTTTTCTGGAAAAACATTAATTCTGTATTTCAAGAGGAATAGTGGATCTACTGGATTACTTAATTTTTCCGATGATGATATCTAACATTAATTCATTCAAATGACTTTTTCTCCTCCAGGAGATGGATCAGCTGCTGCTGACATTTGGTGACATCCCTCATCACGGGCCGGTGCTATTGGCCTGGGTCCTGCTGAGACACACACTGCGACCAGACGAGTCCAGCCCCGTGATCAGGAGGATAGGCAACACTGCCCTGCAGCTTGGGGTGTTCAAGTATATTTCAACCATGCTGAAAGGCCTCGGGGTCTCGGGAAATAATGTAAGACAACACACATACACACACTGATTTGGTCAGGTCAAACCTAAAAGTTCTTAAGGTGGAAAACTATTTATAACTTTTAGTTAAAGGAAAACAGTCTCTTTTACTTACTGTCTTGTTGCAGCTACCTAAACCATTTCTCAGTTTTAGATACTCTCTCTGCTGCTCCCATTACCCAAACCTGCTTAAATGAGATCCTGTTGCTGTACACTTCTCTGTAGAAATACATCAAGTTAAGGAAATCCTTTTACAAGGTCTTAACCTATGATTGAATCATGGCTATAGAGCCAAGGGTTGTATCCTCAGCGCTCAGAATGCTTCTGGTTTTCTCTACCAGGTCATTAAATTTAATCATATGGGGCATCAGACCTAAATCAGTCTCTAATGAGATGTCTAGTATGACAACCACTTGGCAGTAGGGAAACATGCTGCACTGTGGATCACTATGGCTTTAGAATCTGAGCTAAATCAGACTTCTTGTTTTATAATTATGACCCTCAAGCTGTGGTTTGGATCTGCACTGAAGCCTGATGTTGAAGTGAAGACAATCCACTGAAAAAATGTATACATTGCATTTTAAAAGTCAACAGCTTTGCTAAAATTGACCACTGAAAATTACAAGTTTCACTAACAAACCCTCACAACACAAACATACACATACCAGTAGATACCACTGTATATTCTCAGATACAGATACAGTGTATTCTTATACTGCATTAAATTCTTTCTCTCCAGTGCACAGCAAGCACAGCAAAGATGTGTATCT